TGCTATAATAAACTACACATTTACTTAATAAAGACATCTTACTAAATTTTTATTTTTATTTTTTTACTTTTAGAACTTCTTTGGGGTAAGATTTTATTTCCATGACTAAATTGATAAAAGTAAGTTACATTCAATGCCAGGAAAGGTAAGAAAAACTCTTTGTAACTATAAAAATATACGCGAGTCAACCCCAACTAATCTACCAAACTAGAACTCATGAGTTATAAACTCGTTTCCTCCAAAATCTTTACATCAAAATTTTTGCCAGTCTAAAAAGGTATTTTTTAACAATGTCCATGATATTTCACAAAATTTAAGTTTATAGGCATATATGCAATATGAAATTTCAACAACAAAGTTTGCTTCAGGCTTTTTTTTTTTCTTTTTTTGAGAAGGAGTCTTGCTCTGTCACCCAGGCTGGAGTGCAGCAGCGCGATCTCGGCTCACTGCAACCTCCACCTCCCAGGCTCTAGCGATTCTCCTGCCTCAGCCTTCCTAGTAGCTGGGATTACAAGCATGTGCCACCACACCCATCTAATTTTTACATTTTTAGTAGAGACGGGGTTTCACCATGTTGGCCAGGCTGGTCTCGAACTCCTGACCTCAAGAGATCCGCCTGCCTTGGCCTCCCAAAGTCCTGGGATTACAGGCATGAGCCACTGTGCCCAGCCTTTCAGGCTTATTTTTGTCTTATAGGCAATTCATAGTAAATAATGAGAAAAGCCTACTGTAAAACTGCCACACCTAGAAGTGGACTGATCTCAAGGCAAGGTAACACATCTTAACAAAAAGCATTAACTTGCTTGATACAAAGGTTACAAACTTTGACTTCTACTTTGACTTTCACTGAAGTTTGCTTTCAAGTAAAATACATACCAAAAAAAAAGAAAAAGAAAAGAAAAATGTGGAGACCAAAAAGGCATAATCCCTTTTGTTGTTTTAATATTTTTAAGAAACAGGATCTTGCTATGTTGTCCTGGCTGGACTGCAGTGGCTATTCCAGACCCAATCATAGTGTACTACAGCCTTGGAGAAAGAAACTGGATTTCCACCCAACTGCTTCTCTCCTAACAAGTTTCACTGCCTTGAAGTGCTTATTTAGTACCTTTTACCATTTCAAACACTTTTTATCAGGCTATCTGAGGCCAAGTGGGAGAGATTAAGCTCTACGCTATCAACAGTTAAGGATTCAACTTATCAGCATTTAACGGTTCCACATTATTTTCCACCTCCAACATACACGATTATACCAATATTAACACATCAGCAATACAATAACCATAAAATGGGAGGCATGGGTGAAGAAGGAATTGTGGTGAAAATATCTTCATATAATAAATTATAACTATAATCTGTATTATCTATTTTGACAGAAATAATTCTCCCACTACTATGCCAGAAGTTACATATGGTTAGTAAAATCTCCAAATTCTTTCAAGCATTTATATCCTTTTAAATATTTTTATCATAAGAGTTTAATTGCCTCTGATTGTGTCCACAACAGTAAATTAATATGATGAAAATAGGTGTAAACAAGACCAATTAATTACAAATGCTTTCTTCAAAGGATGTATTTTAAAGTCAGTTTATTAAAACTCTGGAAATATTTTAGAAAAAAAACCACCACCAGAAGTCCTAAGCATAAGAAAACATACTGTTAAATAAGAGTAGCCTCTCCAAGTGCTCAGAATTTTCAAGTTCTCCCTTTAGCCACCAAATATTTAGTTTTTAAAGTAGTTATGATCTTAAGGAAGCTTTGCATATCCTTCTATTTGAGTTTGAAATGCTTTCAAAAGCTCAAGAACACCTGTTGACAAAACAAATACTGACTGTGGCCCTTTATCCTTAGGTTATTGTCAAATAAACTATCTTGGGGCCAAATTTACACAAACAACTTCAACAATGCTAGCCAAATCAGGTGTGGCCCTCACATTTCAAGTCACAAATCACCACTGCAATACTATGAATAACATGAGTACTGTTTCTGTTACACATAATCTTCCAAGCTGCATACTTAAACAATAAATCATAAAAGACTCTTAACCTTAGTAGGGAATACAATAGACAGAATAGGTTTGCAAACCAGTCAGACTGTGATTCAAATCCCAACTCTACTAGCAAATAAAACCATGGGCAACCTTTCTAAATATCAATGTATTCATTTGTGAAATGGGAATACTACTACCTAACAGGGTGTGGTGAGAATTAAGTAATATAATACAGATACTCAGTAAATGGCATACATTATTTATTTTACTAAATGTCTCTAAAAAAGCATTCATTTTACATAAGGCATAAGGAAAATAAATATGAGGGGAATATTACCTAGTGATACAGCAGAAAGATCTTCCTCTAGGAGTATCTGAAACTAACATTTTAATTTTTTTCCCTATTATAGATGGTGCTGGATATTTACAGTTATCAGAAGATTATCTACTTCTATCTTTAGTTGATGGTAGTTTTATAATTTTGCATACTTTGTACCTGTTCCAGTGAAAACTCCAAAAAACCATAAAGAATTTATCTAGACCATGGGCTTTAGTCATACTTTAAATAAACCTTTAATATAACCAAATGTCTTTATTAATGGCAGTTCAAATGTATCAAAACTATTAAACAGGCTGGGCATGGTGGCTCACACCTGTAATCCCAACACTTTGGGAGGCTGAGGTGGGAGGAGCTCTTGAGCCCAGGAGTCCAAGACCAGCCTGGGCAACATAGGGAAATCCCAGTCTCTACAAAAAAAAATTTTTAATTAGCCAGGTGTGGTGGTGCATACATGTGGTCCCAACTAATTGGGAGGCTGAGGTGGGAGGATTGCTTGGGCCCAGGAGGTTGAGGCTGCAGTGAGCCATAATAGCACCACTGCACTCCAGTGGTGCTATCATAGGCAACAGAGTGAGACCCTGTCACAAAATACTATGAAACACAAGTAAATGCCAACATTTTCAGAAAATTGCTCAAACTGTTAAAAGAGCTTTTGTAAGTAGCTTCAATTTTGGAGAACTCTATTGAGTGATAGGAAGCAGCAGTTCCTTCCTGCCAAATGGTGAAAGTAGAAGCCGACTCTTCCATGCAGGAAGACCATCTAACCTCTTGAGCAGGTCATCCTCATCAAGTATTAATCCCTTATTACTCACCGTAGGGACCAGGATTTTACAGATACTTAGAAGTTAATACATACAAAAGCCCTATTTACAACTATTCCAGAAGGGCTCGAGGTATCCTGAAATCAAACATTCTAATGCTTCTCAGGAAAACGTAGTCATAACTGAGGGGAAAAAAGCCTCCTGTCAGTTCAATTCAGGTTTACCACCGAAAGTTCTGACATCAAATAAACAAAACAAAAAACAGAAAAACACTTTGTTTTACCTTAACCCTCTCTAGCTACAGAGTAGGCCTAATATCTTTTTCAAACATCTGAAGGAAAGAAAACAATCATGTCTCTCTCCCCTAAAGCTTGTCTTGAGATGCTCCAGTTGTAGCCCAACCCTACATAGGTTGACAGGAGCTCCTATCACAGGGCTTTCCAAAGGAGATCCTGAGCCAGAATGAGATAAATATGTCCACTAAGACAAGGCAGTACTACTTTTCTTTCCTCTTCCTTGCTTCCAAAAACCCCCAAAGCACCAACCCCCTCCTTTCCTCTGGGATTTATAACATTAACCATGCTTTTCTCAAAAACCTATTTCAATCTTCAACATTTCTTTCCTAATAAACAACACTAACTCACAGAGACCTCTACCTCTGTTCCTGTTTTTACGGAACCAAAATAATTACTTATTATATATTGATCACATATTAAGATATTTTGGATATAATGGATTAAATTATTACAAACAATTTTACTTGTTTCTTCTTATTTTTAATGCGACTATCAAGAAGTTTAAAATTCACAGATGGCTAACATTTTCCTTTGTGTTTGTTTTGTTGTTAAGTACAGGGGTACATGTGCAGGCTAGTTACATAGGTAAACTTGTGTCATGAGGGCTTGTTGTACAAATTATTTCATCACCCAGGTATTAAGCCTAGTACCCATTAGTTATTTTTACTGATCCTCTCCCTCCTCCCACCCTCCAGTAGGCCTCAGAATGTTGTTCCCTTGTCCATGTGTTCTCACCATTTAGCTCACTTACAAGAGAACATGCAGCATTTGGTTTTCTGTTCCTGCATCAGTTTGCTAAGGATAATGGCCTTCAGCTCCATCCATGTCTTTTCAGAGGACATGATCTTATTCTTTTTTACGGCTGCATAGTATTCCATGGTGTATATATACCAAATTGTCTTTATTATCACTGATGAGCATTTAGGTTGATTTCATGTCTTTGCTATTGTGAACAGTGCAGCAGTGAACATATGCGTGAATATGTCTTTATAACAGAACAATTTATATTCTTTCGGGTATATACCCAGTAATGGGACTGCTGGGTCAAATATCTTTAAATCTTGGAGGACTCTCTACATTGTCTTCCACAATGGTTGGACCAATTTACACTCCCACTAACAGTGTATAAGCATTCCTTTTTCTCTACAATCTCACCAGCATCAGTAATTTTTTGTCCTGTCTGATTTCAATTCTTTTCTGAACATCCATTTTTAACTGATTTATAATATACAGTAGTTTCACTAGAGTGAAATGAACATGTTGATTTAAATACTAACTTCCTGGACTTTTTTTAATTCAGAATTTTTGAAAATGAGAATATCAGCTCTTGTTCACTGATCTTGACCTCTATTAACTAGTGGCTGAAATTTCCTCTTAAAACTAATGATTCTAAAGTCAAGAAAACATAGTTTCCATTTTCAAAATTAGCTTCAACAAGATCATGTGAAGCAAATAATTTAAAGAAAAAGCAGATGAAACATTAAACTGTACATCCAATGGTGGTACTCCGCCTAAAGGAGTTCGATGCGGCAGGAACATCCTGCAGGCCTCAGAAGATGGGGAGCGGGAGGAAAGGCATTGACAGACAAGAACCAGATGGAAAACAGAAGTTATAGCTGACCAAGAATTTATCTTTATTCTGATTATGATTCTTCAAAGAGCATTAGTTGTTTACATTTCATTTAAGTCATGCTTAAATACATACCAAATATGACTACTTATATTCCTTTTGACCAAAAAGCTGAAAATGTTGTGTTCTAGTTCATCTTACTCATTTTATTCTGATGTGAAACACTCTAAATCCAAATCGTTTTGAAAGTAAATAGGCCAAGTGGCCTACCCTACCCTTTTTATAGTACAAATTCTGTGATACTGCCTTCTTTTCAGTATACGCTCCTCTGTGGGCCTTTGGCTTACACGGAGACCATCAGCTACAACCCATGGCAGTCAGCTTCAGAGTCCTCGCTCCAGTGTGCGTCTCGTTTCTCAGCCACAAGTTTGATGAACTGAAAATGACTGGCATAAAGCTTCAGTTTATCACTGATGTCCACCCATTTCACTTTTCCAGCATCATCTCCAGCTTCTAGCGTAAGATTATCCATTATCTCACCTGGTTGCCAAAGAAAAACCATCACCAAGAAGAATTCATTTCTGTTTTAGCATATCTATATCGTCAAGTATTCTTACTTAAAATAATCTTAAATCATCATTGTACTAGCTGGCCAAGTGAATTAAAAACTAGACTATTCCAGCCCTGGTCAGCAGAATGAATAAAAGGAAAAAAAACGAGACTACTCCAAAATGCCCAAATTTTAACCAAGTCCCTAAATTTTAGACAAACACACAATACAAAGACTTCTCTCTAAAAAGATTATCCTTAAAAAAGAGACTATATTATACAAATATGAAACCTTACATCAAAATCAATCCAAGATGGATTAGAGATTTAAACGTAAAAAAAAAACACAAATTATTGGTGACTCCTTTTATAGTCTTAAGTGGAGTTTTCTAAGCATAACACCAAACCAAAAACCATAAAGTATGTTTAAGTACTTAAGATATTTTAATAAATACAAGTATTTATAAATAAATTTATTAAAATATTTTAAACTAGGCCGGACATGGTGGCTCACACCTGTAATACAGTACTTTGGGAGGCTGAGGCAGGTGGATCACCTAAGGTCAGGAGTTCAAGACCAGCCTGGCCAACATGGTGAAACCCCATCTCTACTAAAAATACAAACGTTAGCCAGGTATGGTAGTACATGCCGGTAGTCCCAGCTTACTTGGGAGGCTGAGGCAGGAGAATTGTTTGAATCCATGAGGCAGAGGTTGCAGTGAGTCAAGATCACACCACTGCACTCCAGCCTGGTGACAGGGTAAGACACCATCTCAAAAAAAAAAAAAAAAAAAGAAAAAGAAAAAAATATTACATTTAAATTATCAAAAAAATAAAAAATAAGTGTTCCCAATCACAGTTGGGAATATAAATGGCATATTTCTGTAGGCAATTTGGCAATGTTTATCAAGAGCTTTTAAAAAGTAAGTTTTCTTTGACAAGCATTCATTCTCTAAATATCAGAGTACATCTTGTGTACCAGACTCTGTACTAGGTATCTGAAGATACAATAAGCAATCCAGTAACTCCACTTTGAAGAATTTATTCTAATGAAATAGAGACAAGCCTATTAAAGTACTCAAGGCAACATTACTTAAATATTTTATTTTATTTTTATTTATTTATTTTTAGACAGAGTCTCGCTCTTGTTGACCAGGCTGAAGTGCAGTGGTGCAATCACGGCTCACTGCAACCTCCACCTCCTGAGTTCAAGCGATTCTCCTGCCTCAGCCTCCCGAGTACCTGGGATTACAGGCACTCGCCACCATGCCTGGCTAATTTTTTTGTATTCTTGGTAGAGAGCACACTGCCACACCAAAAACTGGAGAGACAGGCAAATACAGAGACTCACAACTGACAAGGGAGAGAAGCCTACCACTGAAGTCAGCGCCTGGTAGGAACACTTAAAGGGTAACGAACTGCTGAAAGCTGACCTTTGGACTAGCTTGAAAGATAAAATCTCCTAGGGGCTCAGCCATACCAGTATGAAGGGTGGCCTCCATGTTAGTGAGTTTTACCTCCAAGAAAGCCACTGGGTGAAGACTGGAGAAAAATCCTCTCTCCCTTCCAACATGGAGAGGGGAAAGGTAACCATTTTGAAATATAGCCAGATCACTCTGCCCTCAAGGAAAACTATTTTACCAAGCCCTAAGCAATCTGAGGGAAAGGAAATACCCAACTCCACAATTTACCACCATATCTATCAATAGGGCTGTTTAATAAAAGGTGAAGAGAGCTGAAAGAAGGGCATGCTTCAGACCTTATTTAAGAAGTCTCCAGGGAAACCCAAAACTATAGGAAATTTTAGCCTCTGACACATACAACTACAGTAAACAACAAACACAGCCTAACTCCTAGCCAGATAAACATAAAACCTCACACTAAAGAACCATTTGCCTTAGTTCCCTTTACAAGATATATCGTGGTCAGTTTTTAAAAAGCACTACAGCCGGGCGCAGTGGCTCATGCCTGTAATTCCAGCACTTTGGGAGGCCAAGGTGGGTGGATCACCTGAAGTAAGGAGTTTGAGACCAGCCTGGCCAACATGGTGAAACCCCATCTCCACTAAAAATACAAAAATTAGCCGGGCATGGTGGTGCATGCCTGTAGTACCAGCTATTTGGGAGTCTGAGGCAGGAGAATCGCCTGAACCTGAGAGGCAGAGGTTGCAGTGAGTTGAGATCATGCCACTGCACTCCAGCGTGGGCAACAGAGCAAGACTCCATCTCGGAGTTAAAAAAAAAAGGCACTAAAAGCATGCTAAAAGGCAAAAAACATAGCCTAAAGAAACAAAGCAAATATTAAAACCAAACTCAAATATGGCACAGATTTTGGAATTATCAAAACACAATTTTTTAAGTTTAAAGAGAGAAAAAGGGTAAAAACAGCGAACAACCTATGAACTCTATAATCAACCTCTGAAGGATCAGTTACTGTTTTTAATTCCAAAAATAAGTAGTTAACAAATTTATCAGTACTATAAGTTGTACAGACCTGCTTCTAATTTACATCTGCATATTTCTTCTAATATACCTAAGTGGAAATACAGAAGCAATGGAAAATGGCCCCAGGAGTTTCCTCCAAGTTCAACAAGCAAAAGCACAGGACATAGAAATGACAGATCTTCTAGTTCTAGCCCATTTTGTAAGTGAAAAAACTGAGTCCAAGAGGACAAGTGATTTGTACAAGGTTACACAGCTCAGAAAGAACCATGAGTGGAACATTCATTTCATTTCTCTAGCATGATGCACCCACTTTTACACTACAAATAAAAACAAATTAAATTTAGCAATAAAATATGTTTCAAGGGAGCCATTCAATGTGTACATTAAGATCAAATTAATTTTTAAGACAGCAGATTTTTCCTTTCTCCTTCTGTAATAACAGGTTTGACCCTCCTCATAAAATTTTAAATTCCATGGACCAGAAAGAACATTCATGTAAATTTTCTCAGCACTTGAAATTTTTTGTTATTGCTTTGTGTTTTAATAATCCAAGATTATTATAAAAATATTTCAAATAGTAAGATATAAATCCCATTTCCTTCATCACTGCCATACTTCCTACCCAAATCCCAGTTGCTTTCTTTTTGTTTTGCAAAAAAAATGAATCATACTCAATAAATAATCTGACATCTTTAAAGCATACCATTTTAGCCCATAATTTCAACCTTAATTTCAAATGTTACCAATGGATTAAAGAAAATTTAATCGCTGGTGATAACAGTTTTGAAGATTTCTCCTACGTATTCCTTTAATACCAATAATTTTGCTTTCATATAACTACAATCCTACAATCAACAGTTAATTGGTTTAAGATGCTAAAATAGTCCAGATTTAATCATGCCTTAGTGGGCTACTGGCTTAAACTGCTCCTTTAATCCCAGTCAGTTTAATAAATATAAAGTTACCTGTTTCGTCATGGTAGTTCACAGCTTCTGTCTCCATCCATGCATTATCGGTGTTTCGAGGATCATCAACATATCCCTTATATATCTATTTTCAAAAGAAGACAGATTTTTTAAAAGTCCAAGATGTAATGAGTACAGCAGAGCACGTTACCTTCACTAGCATCAGAAAGGTAAATATCCTGTTGCACAACAACATGAACATATTGAATGCTACTGAGCTGTACATTCAACAGTTTAGATGGCAAATTTTATGTTATGTGTTTCTACCAAAATTTTGTTTAAGAAATGTAAGTATCAGCCAGGCGTGGTGGCTCATGTCTATAATCTCAGCACTTTGGGAGGCTGAGGCACGTGGATCACCTGAAGTCAGGAGTTTGAGACCAGCCTGACCAACAAGGTGAAACCCTGTCTCTACTAAAAATACAAAAAAATTAGCCAGGCATGGTGGTAGACGCCTGTAGTCCCAACTACTCGGAAGGCTGACACAGGAGAACTGCTTGAACCCAGGAGGTGGAGGTAGCAGTGAGCCAAAATCGGGCCATTGCACTCCAGCCTGGGCAACAGAGCGAGACTTTGTCTCAAAAAAAAGAAAGAAAAAAAGAAAGAAATGTATCTATCATAAAATTTTTAATGCAGTACTTTATGTGCTTGTTTCAAATTTCCCACAGAACAATATTCTCTTTTGAGGCAGCTTTAAAAAACATGAAACCCTCAGGACAGGCACAGGGCTCATGCCTGTAATCCCAGCATTTTGGGAGGTGGAGGCAGGCAGATCACAAGGTCAAGAGATCAAGACCATACTGGCCAACATGGTGAAACCTCATCTCTACTAAAAACACAAAAATTAGCTGGGCATGGTGGCACACACCTGTAGTCCCAGCTACTTGGGAGGCTGAGGCAGGAGAATCACGTAAACCTGGGAGGCAGAGGTTGCAGTGAGCTGAGATCACGTCACTGCACTCCAGCCTAGCGACAGAGCAAGACACTGTCTCAAAATAAATAAATACATCATGAAACTGTCAACACTTCAAACTCTAATTTCAGAAAGTAAGAATAGTCAGATTTGGGCAATATGATTTTTTAAGAGAGTCCATGATTTAAGTATTTTTCTGTGATTATGGTTTCTGAAATACAAAGGTAAACTCTTCTAGTTAAACAAAGGAGATATATAAGTAAAACTAAAGATTACTACTTAAGCTATTAATATATGAAAATATTTGGATCTAGTCATCTAGCACAAATGTAACCCAAAAAAATCTGGACAACATAAATAACTAAATCCCAATTCTGAAAAACAAGCAATCCAAATAAAAAAATGACATAAAAAAGGCCAGGCGTGGTAGCTCACGCCTGTAATCCCAGCACTTTGGGAGGCTGAGGCAGGCAGATCACCTGAGGTCAGGAGTTCAAGACCTGCCTGGCCAACATGGTGAAACCCTGTCTCTACTAAAAATATAAAAATTAGCCAGGCATGGTGGCATGCGCCTGTAATCCCAGCTACTTGGGAGGCTGAGGCAGGAGAATCATTTCAACCCAGGAGGCGGAGGTTGCAGTGAGCCAAGATTGCACTATTGCACTACAGCCTGGGGACAAGAGTGAGACTTCATCTCAAAAAAAAAAAAAAGAAAAAAAGAAACAACAACAAAAAAGAAAAAAAAAATTTATTATTTTCTTATTATTAGTGTGCATATACCTTGTAAGGTATTTTTTTAAAAGCACAGAAGGCCAGGCTCACTCCTATAATCCCAGCACTTTGGGAGGTTGAGGTGGGGGGATCACTTGAGCCCAGGAGTTCAAGACCAGCCTGGGCAACATGGTAAAACCCCATCTCTGCAAAACAAAAAACAAAAAATTAGCCCAGTGCGGTGGTGTGTGCCTGTGGTCCCAGCTACCCAGAAGACGGACGTGGGAGGATCACATGAGCTCAAGAGGTTGAGACTGCAGTGAGCCGTAACACCACTGCACTCCAGCCTGAACAACAGAGCAAGACCCTGTCTCAAATAAAAATCAAAAGAATAGAGGGTATATGGACAAAACAAACATGAGACTTAAATGATTATCAACCAGAAAAATCTCTGTATGACATAATTTAAAATGTAAATGTTCTTTCAGCGAGAGCTGAATTCATGCACATACAAAAAGCTTTCTGTTGGATGGGTACTCAATGTGAAAGAAAATAGTTTACAGGCCAGGCATGTTGGCTCACGTCTGTAATCCCAGCATTTTGGGAGGCCAAAGAGGGCAGATAACTTGAAGTCAGGAGTTCAAGGGCAACCTGGCCAACATGGTGAAATACTACATGGTGTCTCTACTACAAATACAAAAATTAGCTGGGCATGGGGGTGGGTGCCTGTAATCCCAACTATTTCAGAAGCTGAGGCAGGAGAATTGCTTGAACCTGGGAGGTGGAGGTTGCAGTAAGCCAGGATCATGCCACTGTACTCCAGACTGGGTGACAGAGCGAGACTCCATCTCAAAAGAAAAAAGAAAAACTAAGAAGAAAAAGGTTGTTATAATAAATGATATAAATGAACTAAATACAGATCATCTTAGCCTATATAAAGGTGGGCTATAAAACTTTAAATAGAAACCTATTTACAGTGAAGATCTGTAATTCGTTTTTGTGAATATATTTTAAATATACAAGTATTCCACTTTATTTAGAGACGGACATACAGATTTCCAGGTCAACTTTTAAGTCACTTTTAACAATCCACAGAACTAAATCCCTCCCAGAAACACTATTTCTTACCAGTAGGTGGTCTTGGCTGAAGAGTTTGTGCAACTTTTCCTCTATTTCTCTCTTTTCAGCGCTGGTTTTCTGTAAGGAGTTGAGAGCTTCCTCACCAAATTCTCTTTTCAGTGTGGCACTAATCTTTTCTCCTGGATCCACCATCCCCTAAGAGTCACATTTAAAAATTTGAAAAAAGGGATCAGCTTTGATTTGTTCAACAAATATTTATTGAGTGGTAGAGTGAACATTATTCAATCTGCCTATAATAGTGATCCCCATTTCTCTGTGATACGCTGTTCTCTAAACCATCTGTTGCTAGCAGAAGCAGCCAATAAGGATACCTCATGTATTTGGCCACAGTGATTGGTCCAAGGTTAGCCTATGGCAAACTGAGCCAATCAAACCAATTTCCTGGTACTTGCCAAACTCAAACTAAGGAAAAAGGACTGGAGGCAAGAAATAATACAGCACATTGATTCTTCCCCCATTGTTCATTCCATTCCAGCCACACTGATCTCCTCAATGTTCCCAGAACTTGCCTAACATGCTGCCCACTGAGCGCCTTTGCACCTGCTATTATCTCTATCCAAGATGCTGTTCTCTAGTTATCTGCATGGTTCACTAATTCATTTCCCTTCAGATAGTTACCTAACATGCACCTCCTCGGGGAGGTCTTCTCTAATTGCCCTGTCTAAAACTGCAAACTCTCAAACATTTCCTAGTCCTCTAACTTGCTTTTGTTTTTTTCTTAATACTTATTGTTAGATGGGATATATTTAACTTATATATCTTATATTATCTGTCTCTCCAACTGGAATGTGAGCATCAAAAGATAGAGATATTTGTTTATGTTGTTCTGTTGTATCCTCAATGTCTAAAATATTAGCTGACAAAAGGAAGATACTAAAAATACAGTGATTAGATGAGTAACTGTCAAAATGATATCAATGACAGCACTTTCCTGATAAGAATTTCAAATAACAATAAAAATGTAAGATTCTATGATGAAATCATTATTACATTATTGCTTTCAACCTAAGTGAAGTTTGACGATTTGGCTCACAGAAGTTAGCCTAAAGTTCGCTGAGCGCGGTAGCTCATGCCTATAATCCCAGCACTTTGGGAGGCCAGGGCGGGTGAATCACGAGGTCAGGAGTTCAAGACCAGCCTGGCCAAGATGGTGAAACCCCATCTCTACTAAAAATACAAAAATTAGCCAGGTGTGGTGGTCGTCACCTATAATCCCAGCTACGAGGGAGGCTGAGGCAGGGAATTGCTTGAACCCAGGAAGCGGATGTTGCAGTGAGCTGAGATCATGCCATTGCACTCCAGCCGAGCAATGGACTGGATGGACTCCGTCTCAAAAAGAAGAAAAAAACAGAAATTAACCTAAACTTTTATCAGAGTCAGTTGAGATCCTTATTTCCATTCCATTTTTATTCTACAAAGAAAAAAACATTCTTGCAGATAACTGTATGTTTATAAAGAGTCATACTCATATCAAACTATCTCCATTTCACAATATGGTATAAAATATAAAACCCTCTACCACACACATAAACATTTTAAACAGCCACTTCAGGCCGGGCGTGGTGACTCACACCTGTAATCCCAGCACTTTGGGAGGCCCTGAGGCAGGCAGATTGCTTGAGGCCAGGAGTTCAAGACCAGCCAGGCCAACATAGTGAAACTCGTCTCTACTAAAATTACAAAACTTAGCCAGGCATGGTGGCGCATGCTTGTAATCCCAGCTATGGTGGGAGGCTGAGGCACAAGAACTGCATGAACCGAGGAGGCACAGGTTGCAATGAGCCAAGATCGCACCAATGCACTCCAGCCTGGATGACAGAGTGAGAGACTCTGTCTCAAAATAAATAAATAAAAAATAAATGGCCCCTTCAAATATACCACTGCCATAAATTCAAACTACAAGTCAATAAAAGTATACTCATCTCGATGACATTATAGAAATTATTTAAACTACAAGGAACAGTAAATAAAAAGTGTTAATTTTTTAAATGTTGTCAAAAGTTATCAGAATTCAACCAAAAAGTGCTTAAAAATACTACTTTGGGCTTGGAGTAGAGGTTAAATTCTGAAATGGGATCCAACATAATGAATGCCTATTTATATGTGATCTCTAATAATCGTGTGAAGTAGATCTCTTTATTTTAAAGATGAGGGCCTGAACTCCCAATCACCCAGCTTCAAGTGGAATGGCCAGAACACAGACCTACATCTAATATCAAAGCCCAAGTTATTTCCCAAGGGTGTCAGAATTAGACGCAGATTCTAACAGTCTTGGATTATCCTAAACTTACTGCTGACAATGACACTTCATGCAGGGATGAAAAACAAAAGAACTACTAATTCAAGTGGGAAGGAATAGAGGAAAATTGAATAGAAAAGATCCACAAACAATAACCATGTAGTAAGTAGAGCAACTAAAAAGAACTTAAACACTAATTTAATTTGAATGCTTACCCCTGGGATTGCCCATTCTCCACAGTCTTTCCTTTTTATTGCAACAAACTGTAAGATGTGTTTCCCAGAAACAGGATGCATGATTTTATTTCCACTGCTATCCTTTTTCCATCTGTGAATAGTAATGTAAAATCATAACTATTTACAACAAAAACTAAGGTTCTATCTCAAATCTGAGAAAAAGTTACAAGGACACTTTTCTTTAAAACAGAGTATATATAAATTTATCTCAAATCAGCTAGTTTTATTTAAAACCATTGATTTTTATAGGAAATATTCTATATTCATCACTGTTACAAACCAGGACAAGTGTCTACATTACATAAAAGATACTACATTATCTGTAACGAAAATTCAGGATACAAACAATTTTTACTACTTAAAGTACTAACAAAACAAGTAGCAGCAGAATAGAATTTAAAGAAAAGGTTATCAAAGTTTTTTAAAAAATAAGTTTACATATCCTTCTTTAAAAATTACTGGTAGTTGCCAGGTGCAGTGGCTCACACTTGTAATCCCAACACTTTAGGAGAATTACTTGAGCTCAGGAGTTCGAGACCAGCCTGGGCAACAAGGGAAGACCTCATCTCTACAAAAAATTAAAAAATCAGCTGGTGCAGTGGCATGCACCTATAGTCCTAGCTAGTTGGGAGACTGAGGCAGAAGGGTCACTTGTACCCAGAGTTTGAGGTTGCACTGAGCTAAGATCGTGCCACTACATTCCAGCTTGGGTGACAGACAGAGAAAATTACCGGTAGTGAAAAAGGCATGGTAAGATTTGTTTTTGGCAGGGTGTGGTAAGTCACGCCTGAAATCCCAGCACTTTGGGAGGCCAAGGCGGGCAGATCACCTGAGGTCAACAGTTCAAGACCAGCCTGGCCAACATGGTGAAATCCTGTTTCTATAAAAATACAAAAATTAGCGCATGATAGTGAGTGCCTGTAGGCCCAGCTACTCAGGGAGCTGAGGCAGGAGAATGACTTGAACCCAGGAGGCAGAGGTTGCAGTGAGCAAAGATCGTGCCATTCCACTCCAGCCTGGGTGACAGAGTGAGACTCCACCTCAAAAAAAAAAAAAAACAACTTTGCTTTTAACAGTTCACCCTGTGCTAAGAGAAAAGCAGATTATATGACCCAGTTTAGTTGTTGTCAAAAGCAGTACTTCTCAATTTTTTTTTTTTATTTAAAGAGACAGGGTCTTGCTCTGTCACCAAGGCTGGAGTACAGTGGTACAATCATAGTTCACTGTAATCTTAAACTCCTGGGCTCAAGCAATCATTCTGTCTCAGCCTCCTGCATAGCTAGGACTACAGGCATGGGCCACCACACCCAGCTAATTTTTTTTTGTTTTTCAGTAGAGATGGGGTCTCCTGCTAGGTTACTCAGCTGGTCTTGAACTCCTGGCCTCAAGCCATCCTCCCACCTCAGCCTCCCAAAGTGCTGTGATTACAGGTGTAAGCCACCACACCTGGCCCTGCTTCTCAATCTTTATGCCCTCTAATTTGATAAACAAACAAAAAAAACTCTATCCTTTTATTTTACATTTTAAATTGAATTGATTATAGGTTTTGTAAAAAGTATCAAGGCAATGTTAGTTTCAGAATACACTTTTTCTAACCACACTCTCTTTGCCAGAGATGTTGATACTAATAAATCTCCCCTTCCCCTTCCTCACCTCCGTATCAACCTCCAGCCCAATTTTAGGAATTGTCCTAACGATCTCTTAGTCAAAAAAAAAATCTTCCAATGCTAAACCAAAAAAGAAGGTCTATGATCTAATCATTACTCTGGATGAAACCCAATAAAGTATTAGTGTGGATATGAGCTTCCAATTTTCCTTATATAGTAGCTGACTACCATATCTAATTTCCTTATATAGTAGCTGACTACCATATCTAATTTCCTTATATAGTAGCTGACTACCATATCTACCATATTTAATTCTTCCCATGAAAGAGCTCACAGTCTAGCAGTGGCTCTAAATTAGAAGGGTGATAGTTTGATGAGTATATTAAATAGAAATGAAATAATAATTAGTACAAGAGGGCATATCTGTTTTTAAAATGCCAGAAAGGGGAATACATGAGTGAGAAACAAAGTCATAAAATAAAATAATGTGTTCAAGAAACTGAATGTCCATATGGGGTCTAGCACCACGGGCATCAGTGAGGGAAAAGATAGGCCAGAAAAGTGGGCAACGGGCTTATACGACGGTTCATCTAATTCATCTACTTAGAGAGCCAGAGAATGTTTTTAAGCAGGGTAAAGCCATAACCAATCTGAAGTTTAGAAAGCTCACTCACTTTGACAAAAGCATGTATGTTGGTCTGCAGGAAAGCAAGACTGGACTCAAGAAGATCAGCTGGGAGGCCACTACTATGACCCAGGTAAAAGATGATGACAGGACAGAAGGCAGAGACAGTGAGAAAGAAGAGAGCATGGATTTTATTTTTATTTTCTAAAAGCCATTTAGATAGCATTTATTATATATATAAAACACTGTTCCAAGTGCTTTCATGTATTTATCTATTTAAGCCTCAAAACAACCCTATAAAATAGTCATTTTATTATCTTTATTTTACAGATACGGAAAATGAGGGACAGAAAAGTAAGGTAACTTCCCTAAGACTGCAGTGTTAACAAGGGTGTAAACAGAACTTTGAACCCAGGCAATCTGGTTCCAGAATCTGTGTTCTTAATTACCATACTATCTACTTAAACTGAACAAGCAGAATGTTTACACTAATTAGGTAAGAGGAAAGATGACCGGGCACAGTGGTGCATGCCTGTAATCCCAGCACTTTGGGAGGCTGAGGCAGGCAGATCACGAGGTCAAAAGATCAACACCATCCTGGCCAACATGATGAAACCTTCTCTACTAAATACAAAAATTAGCTGGGTGGTGTGGCATGCACCTGTAGTCCCAGCTACTTTGGAGCCTGAAGCAGGAGAATCACTTGGAGGTTGCAGTGAGCCAAGATAGCACCACTACACTCCAGCCTGGGCGACAGAGCTAGAATCTGTCTCCAAAAAAAAAAAAAAAAAGGAAAGATAAGAAGGTGAATGATGGCTCTGTTCACTCATAAACATTTACTGGCACCTACTACACATCACATGCAAGGAGATGGGAAAACAAAGACTCAATACAGCCACTGCTCTTCAGCCAACCAGTTGTGACTATGGAATAAGGATGAGAAACAGAATAGAGAGAGATGCTGGCCAGGTGTGGTGGCTGCTGCCTGTAATCCTAGCACTCTGGGAAGCCAAGGTGGGAGGATTGCTTGAGCTCAGGAGTTCGAGACCAGCCAGGGTAACATAGCAAGACCACATCTCAAAAAAAAAAAAAAAAAAAAGATGCTGCTGGGGAGAAGGCAGGACCAGAGAGATGAGCAGCTTGCATATGTTCTCAGATTTTATTCTGAAGGGACAAACGTATGGATTTTAAGCACAGTAGCTTCTTGCTATGTTAGTATTAAATACATTATCACCAATTTTAAAACAAAATTTCTTGATCTAACAGAACACATCATTTTAATTGATGAACCTAATGAACACTTACTGAATATCAATGATATTTCTATGCCCTATTGCTATTCCCTCCCCAGTTGTGGTAGTATGCACCTTCCTGTCATTAACCAAAAGGGAACAGAAAATGATAGTCATCAATTATTTGACCTGAATTTATTTAAAATAATACATTAACACTTCCCAACTCATTTTGACTCTAGAGGATCTGAAGAAACTTTTGAAAATTGTACTTGGACAATCTCTAGGAGAGATGCCTGGGAATCTGAAAATTTAACACCTGCCCTGGAGCTTCTGAACTAAAAAGTTTATGAAATCCTGAACAATGTTGTTTTGAATCATGAAGTGCATACTTGAAAGAAAAGGGGATAGAATCTTTGCTCTGAAAGTGCCTGGGTGATTCTCCAGTAGAAGGAATATACCCTAAAATAATGATAAAAAGTACAGTATAGTAAAGACTCACTAGTGGTGTAACAGAAAAAGCACAGTATTTAAAGCCACTTACCCCTGATTCAGATGTCAGATCTGTAACATTTAGGCAAGTCACTTAACCCCAGTGAGTCTATTTTCAAACTCTCAAAACAGATATATCAATACCTACTTGGAGGGGCTTCTGTGAAAAACAAATAGAAAAACTAATGATAGCACTGATAGGATGCCTGGAATAGACTAGTCTAAAAGTAGAATATTTTTAACAATTCATCTAAGGCCTAATCCTTCTTTCAACATCTTTCATTCTTCTCTCTTCCATTTCTGCTGCCTCTCATCTATTTAGAGGAACTCATCAATTTATTAATTAATGCATTATTATGTATTATTAATTAATCATTATTGAGATAACAAAGAATATCAACCTAAGAGTGCAGCTAAAAGCCAGACACTGCCACTTGTGGGCTCTCTTATAGCCTTGGACCATCTCTAAGCCTTCAGTTCTCTTATCTGTACGGCAGAGTTAAGCTCAAAAAGTCTACCATTTCAAAACAACTTGACACACAATCACCATGTATACTCCCAGCCACTATTTGGTCCAGCATAGATAAAGATAAGCTAACTAGATTCTAACTTGCAAGACTCAGACTCCCTTTTCTGCTTCTTGTCCGCTTACTAGCATTACATTCCTGTTTCAAACATTTCATACCTTCCTGTTTTTAGCCAGCTTCACCAAAGTCAGAAACTAACACTGCCATTGATATTTTTTTATTAACTCTTTCCATCTCATTTAAACCATAGAGGTTCTAACAGTACATGGAAGGAGAGGTAAGTTGATCAGTAGTTAAGTAAGTAGGTAGGTGAATGGGTGGGTAGGTGGATGGATGATGGAGGGAAGATAAAATTGGGGATTGGGTAAAGATTCTTTTTGGCAGGAGAATCGAGAGGGCAAGTAAGAACGTAAGACCGGGTGAGTACGGGTGCCTCTTCCAGTAACTTGAAAATAAAAAAAATATACAGAGTTAAACTCTCAGATCAAAGAAAAACAGAGTCTCCGTGAAGAAAGGCCCCCAAAATATCAAAACTAGGAAAGTAACAATATTGAAGATATTTGCACTATTTAAAGAAAGAACATGACAATTCCATGTGGGGAGACAGATGGTCAGCAAAGAAATTCTATAAGTAAAAAAATAAAAATTAAAAGGATGACAAATATGACAGTATTTCAGATATATTAGAAAGATGATTCCTGTGGAGATAGCTAAGCCCATCTAAACATTAGATTCACTGACCTTCTTAATTCTGATTCATGCTCATCAAGAGACCTGAATATGATTTGGTTTACCAGATAGGTCTGCCTCGGGAAGAGAACGCCTCTCCCCTGTTCTGAAACCTGCAGTGGCTCCAGTCCATACTACCAATTTTGGCATTTAAAATTCTTCACAATAAAACTGCGCAAAAATTAATTTTTAGTTTCATTTTTCACCCACTACTCTCCTACAAGAATATTCTGTTTCAACCAAGCCGGTCTCTACTCAGATATTACTACAAACCCTTTTCTTAGGCTTCCTGCTATCTCCCTACCCAAGGTTCAAGTTCAGCTCAAATCTACCTGCTTTATAATGCCTTTCTTGAGTGCTCTAGTTTACCACAGCCATGCCCCACATCCAATCTTCTAAAGCATCCTGAATCACCCATACTATTTGATCATATTTAACATGTTTTCTTACTTCATATTTTCCATCTTGCAAATAAAGCCATAGCTCTTCAGTCACAGAGAACCAACTTAGGATTCTTAGATTTTTTTTATATCTACTAAAGTGCCTACTCAACGCTGAGAACAAATAGATGTTCAATAAATAGATGCATAAATAGAATTAACCTTCTTTATATAATGCCTAACCTACTCATAATGACAGCTTTATACTTATATCACATCACTATTGTATATAAAATCCCTTAAAAATATCAATTATATATACATCTGCATGCATATTTATGTAATATACGTATGCTGGCATGTGTGTGTGTGTGTGTGTGTACAGTCATGTGCCATATAATGATGTTTTGGTCAATAACAGACCACATATGCAATGGTGGTCCCATAAGATTATGATGGAGCTGAAACATTCCTATCACCTAATGATGTCATAAGCCATTGTTAATATCCTCACCCAATGCATTACTCACATGCTTGTGGTGATGCTGATGTAAACAAACCTACTACACTGCCAGTCATAAGAGTACCATTACATACAGTACATAATACTTGATAATAAGTGACTATGTTACTGGCTTATGTATTTACTATACTGTACTTTTTATCATTATTTTAGAGTATATTCCTTCTACTTATAAAAAAAGTTAACTGTAAAACAGCCTCAGGCAGGTCCTTCAGGAGATATTCAAGAGGAAGACATTATTATCATTGGAGATGACAGCTCCATGCATATTACTGCCCCTGACAGCTTTCCAGTGGGACAAGATATGGAGGTGGAAAACAGTGATATTGATGATCCTGACCTTATATAGCCCTAGGCTAATGTGTGTATTTGTATCTTAGTTTTTAACAAAAAGTTTAAAAACAAACAAACAAAAAAACTTGTTTTAATTAAAAAAAGCTCACAGAAGAAGGATATAACAAAAAAACTATTTTTGTACGGTTGCACAATGTGTTTTAAGCTGTTATAAAAAAGCCAAAAAGGTTTTAAAAATGTTTAAGTTTATAAAGTAAGGAAGTTACAGTAAGTTAAGGTCAATTTATTATTCACAAAAGGAAAATGTTTTTTATAAATTTGGTGTAGCCTAAGTATGCAGTGTTTATAAACTCTACAGTAGTGGACAGCAATGTCTTAGGCTTTCATGTTCACTCACCACTCACTCTGACTCACCCAGATCAACTTCCAGCCCTGAGAGCTCCATTCAGGGTAAGTCCCTGAAACATGTGCATGGTTTTTTATCTTTTATATTGTATTTTTACCTACTTTCCCTATGTTTAGATCTATATACACTTACAATTGTGTTACAGTTGCCTACAGTATTCAGTACAGTAACATGCTGTACAGGCTTGTAGCCTAAGAGTAATAGGCTATAGCATATAGCATAGGTGTATACTACTTACTTGATTATACCTACACAACCTAGGCTTATGTAAATATACTCTATGATGTTCGCACAACAACAAAATCACCTAACAATGCATTTCTCAGAACGTGTCCTCATTGTTAAGCAATGCATGACTGTATATACACATATATATACAAACACATACATATGCATATACACACAGGTATACATATATACACACAGCTACAGTCTGCATTTTTTCTATCACTTAGCTCTTTGCTACTGATATGTTTTTTTATTGGCTCTTACCTGGTTATAATGGGATCTGCAGCATGATTTGGGCCCCATCGTCCCAAAAGCCCCCGGCCAACCAGTCCAGTCCGTCCTGCAGGATTTCTGGAAAAACAAAAGCATAAAATCAATTGAATGTTTTCATCTTTTTAACCTGATTTGATATAACCCAAAAGAAGGGAATACAAGCAGTAAGACGGAACTAATAAGTCCTTACAAATCCAACGGTACTACCACATATCTGGTGCTGAGGTTATGTATGCCATTACATTGCTATTTAATTTTTCTTTTGTGCATGTGATATGCTTTGAACTTGAACCAGGAAGAGGTTCTCATATCCAAAGTGGTTCTACAATGTGATGATTTGTTTCAGTTTTCACCTATACTCCTAAATTCAAACTAGAACCTTCCTGCATTCTTTTGGAACACCCACATCTCTCTTCACTTTCTCATTATTCTCATTTCCTACTCTACTCTCCTATAACCCTTCCCATTAAAGTTGTTCCTGTTACATTAAGTCCATTTTTCCTCAATGGTTTCTGGATTTTTATTATCATCAATAATATATATTTGTAGTATACAATAAGGTATTAGTATTACTATTTCACAGATTTCAAGTATACTAAAATACAATTTTATAAAAATGCCAACTATTTAACCTGATGCCACAATCCAGTGTTAAAAATTTGTCAGATAAACCCATCAATATTCATGCCTGTGTCATTTTATTTCAGTAAATATCCTTTAAATGTTTAACTTTCACTATGTACTACTAAAAAAATGTTCTAACATGTAATTCTACCTAAGGGTACATATCTTTTGGCCTCCCACTATATGAAAGTAAATAAACAACTTGCCAAAATATCCCTTTCTGCCATTTTTTTTATTCTTTCTTCCCAGTGACTGTTATTAAAATTGAATGAATTTTTATATTGTTTTTGTATAGACTCAGAAATATTTCAGCAAGACTTGCAAATAGCAACAGAAAGAAAAGACAAGACAGCTGACAATAATTCTTTCCAAATTAACAGGAGGAAGGGCAGAGTGGCCAGCAACCATGTGTGTGTGTGTGTGTGTGTGTGTGTGTGTGTGTGTATATATATATATATACATACATATATATGTGTGTGTGTATATATATATATATATACACACACACTTTTTTTTTTTTTTTTTTTTTGAGACGGAGTCTCACTCTGTTGCCCAGGCTGGAGTGCAGTGGCATGATCTCAGCTCACTGAAACCTCCGTCTCCTGGGTTCAAACAATTCTCCTGCCTCAGTCTCCTGAGTAGCTGGGATTACAGGCATGCGCCACCATGCCTGGCTAATTTTTGCATTTTTAGTAGAGACATGGTTTCACCATGTTGATCAGGCTGGTCTTGAACTCCTGACCTCATGATACACCCGCCTCAGCCTCCCAAAGTGCTGGGATTACAGGCGTGAGCCACCGTGCCCGGCCTGCAACCATATTTTATTCCATGTAACCACACATCCCTGAACACAAGTGATCAAGGCCAACATTAATAGACAGGTTAGTTTGGATAGATGACCAAGACTGTAACTTGTAAACAGGAAACTGGAAAGGACACACAGATTATATTAAAACCTGAAAAGCAGAGATGGTTATTTGCAAAGAGAGAGTAGTAAGCCAGCAATATAGACAAAAGCATAAATGAGGCAGAGAGAGAGTCCTGATGGATTTCGAATTCCATGTTTTCCTAAAGTCAGCTGCATTTTTGCTTTGAGCTCCTTGAGACATTCCTATAGCCTTAAAATAAATTTTACTTTTGCTCAGGCAAGCTAAAGTTAGTTTCTATTAGTCAAAGAGACTTGACTAAACAAACAATCTATCTTGCATTTCCATCTATGTATCTTACCTATCTTTTCATATATTTTATCTTTTTGTAATTTTATCTATAAAAGAACCTAAGGAATCAGTCAAATGCAAGGAGAATTTGAATTAAAAAGACTCAATAACATAGAAAGATGTGTAAGTTATCACCAAAGAAAGAACTTAGCAAAACTGAAGGACCAGGTTGAGATGAGAGGAGTACTACCATTTCCTTGTCTTACAGGAACCAAGAATACAAAGCGTTAACATTTTTATACGGTGATAACCATGATTTCAAATCTGTGATCCTTCTTTGGTTTTATTTAGTACATGCTAATTTTTACATTTCTTTCTAATATTTTAATATGATTTGGCTCTGTGACTCCACTCAAATCTCACCTCAAATTTTAATTCTCGTAAGTTGAGGGCAGAACCTGATGGGAGGTGACTGGATCATGGAGGGCAGTTTCTCCATGCTGTTCTCATGATAGTGAGTGAGTTCTCATGAGATCTGATGTTTTTTTTGGTTTTGTTTTGTTTCTTTTGAGATGGAGTCTTGCTCTGTTGCCCAGGCTGGAGTGCGGCGGCACGATCTTGGCTCATTCCAACCTCTGCTTCCTGGGTTCAAGCAATTCTCTTGCCTCAGCCTCCCAAATAGCTGGAATTACAGGCGCCCGCCACCATGCCCAGCTAATTTCTGCATTTTTAGTAGAGACAGGATTTTGCCATATTGGCCAGGCTGGTCTCGAACTCCTGATCTCACATGATTCATCCACCTTGGCCTCCCAAAGTGCTGGGATTACAGGTGTGAGCCACCGTGCCTGGCCAATCTGATGGTTTTATAAGGGGCTTTTCCCCCTTTACTTGTTCACTCTCTGTCACCTGCTGCCATGGAAGATGTACCTTTGCTTCTCTCTTGCCTTCTGCCATGACAGTAAGTTTCCTGAGGCCTCCCCAGCCATGCAGAACTGTAAGTCAATTAAACTTCTTTCCCTTATTAATTACCCAGTCTTGGGTATGTCTTTTTTTTTTTTTTTGAGACGGAGTCTCGCTCTGTCGCCTAGGCTGGAGTGCAGTGGCACAATCTCAGCTCACTGCAACCTCCACCTCCCAGGTTCAAGCAATTCTCCTCCCTCAGCCTCCTGAGTAGCTGGGATTACAGGTGCCCACCACCACGTCCGGCTAAATTTTGTATCTTTAGTAGAGATGGGGTTTCTCCATGTTGGTCAGGCTGGTCTTGAACTCCTGACCTCAAGTGATCTGCCCACCTCGGCCTCCCAAAGTGCTGGGATTACAGGCGTGAGCCACCGCACCCAGCCAGGTATGTCTTTATAGCAGTGTGAGAACAGGCTAATACATTTTTATAATATCTTCTTAAGGAAAATGGATAATTTTTTAGTTGTACAGAAAAATCATTTTTTAAAAAATATAGAAAGACCCTTGATGTTAAATTTTTGCGTTATCTTTATTTTTACTCTTACAGGTTTGGATAAATTCTTACTTTAAGATACTATACCATTTAATAAATATCTGCTGAACAATTTTCCTTTCTATTAATGTATTCAATTATTTCTATTTTCAAGATAAAATTACAAAAAGATGCATTCAAACGCTGCCTCTGCCACTTGCTCGCTGTATACAAATTGCTTACACTCTTTCCTTCAATTAAAAATTCAACTAAAAATATCCACCAACAGGGTTATTGTGCAGATTTAATTAGATCACATATATAAATAAATTTGTACAACATCTGGGTCATACAAGGATTTGATAAATACGAACTGTCTTTTCTACTTTTTGGTGACTCATTATTGCAAGATGCTCTACTCCCAGTACCTACCTTGGTCTTCCATTTTCAATCTCATACAGGCCATTCTTGCTCTTTCTCTCAACATGCCCATCCTTTTCATTAAACTTGGGAGAAAAATTACTTTCACTGTAATGAGAATACCAATGTAAAATAAGAAATAATCATTCAAAACTACCAACAGCTTAATAATGCAAGTCAATCTGTTATCCATAGGAAGTATTTCTGAAACAGTAAATTTTTAAGGGTTAGTTTTTTTTTCCACAAATCCGTCTTATTCCTTCAAAACAATTTTTAAGGGAAAAAAAAAGTTTTAACCAAAACACCATACATTACAAAGATATATATTATTATTAAACTTATTAACCCCTCTGGGAAGGACTACCAGCAGAAGAGCTAGAGCTCCTACCACATGCTACAGAAAGGTGTATTAGCAAGAAGGAATTGTTGGTGGGCACATTATGAAAACTATTGGTTCCCATGTGATTCCAAAAATAAGATTCCTTCCGACGATGTTTCTACTATTTCAAAATAATTTAAATTTCTTCAAATGCACACTGATTAATATTTTTATCAAAGAAAACCCACGAAGCAGTGAATTTGCCCCACAAGCTGCATAATAAATATGATGTAAATTAAAAACAGACATACTATGCTGGAAATGTTCTAGATTTTGATCTGGGCAGTGGTTACAGAGCTTTGTAAATGTAAAACTTTACTGAGCTGCACACCTTCACATGTAAGAAATGTGCACTTTACAGCCGGGCACGGTGGCTCACGCCTGTAAGCCCAGCACTTTGGGAGGCCGAGGTGGGCAGATCACGAGGTCAGGAGATCGAGACCATCCTGGCTAACACGGTGAAACCCCATCTCTAATAAAAAAATACAAAAAAAATAAAGAAATGTGCACTTTAATATATTTATATCATGCCACAACAAAAAAATTTTTATGTTTTATTTCTTCTTTTTTTTTTTGAAATGGAGTCTTTTTTCTGTCGCCCAGGCTGGAGTGCAATAGCACTATCTTGGTTCACTGCAACCTCCACCACCCAGGTTCAAGCGAATCTCCTGCCTCAGCCTGCCGAGTAGCTGGGACTACAGGAACATGCCACCATACCCGGCTAGTTTTTTATATTTTTAAATATAAATATATTTTATAAACAGAATATGTATTACATATATATAAATAAAATATACATTTTATATTTTTAAAATATAAAAAATTAACCGGGTGTGGTGGCACGCTCCTGTAGTCCCAGCTACTCGGCAGGCTGAGGGTTTCATCATGTTGGCCAAGCTGGTCTCAAACTCCTGACCTCAAGGGATCCGCCCACCTCGGCCTCCCAAAGTGCTGGGATCACAGGCGCGAGCCACTGTGCCCGGCCCAACAAAAAATTTTGTAAACAGACATAACTAAACTACTCTCCTCACCACTATAAAATCCCTGCCATAATTGCACTGACAGTGAATAAAGAGTTATGTAGCACTGGATAGTTCATGGGCAGTTCTGACACAGATTTCACTTTTTTCTTGCTTTAAAGCCAGTGAGTGAGCAAAGAAATATCCGTGGGTTGGGGAATAATTTCCAACTTCAACGATCCATACATTTTCTTAAGACTTCTAACCAATCTGCCATCTAACATGCAAATAAAAAGAATTAAATGATAAAAACCATGAAATTATAAAACCAGAGTTGCAATGCCTTTGGGACTCTAGAGAGGCACCCCTTTAAAAAAATCACCAGGCATGCTGGCTCACGCCTGTAACACCAGCACTTTGGCAAGCCAAGGCAGAAGGATCACTTGAGCTCAGGAGTTCGAGACCAGACTGGACAATAATACTGTGAGAACTCATCTCTGCTAAAAATTTAAAAGTTAGCCAGGCATGGTGGCACACACCTGTAGTCCCAGCTGCTCTGGAGGCTGAAGTGGGAGGATCACTTGAGCCCAGGAGATCAAGGCTGCAGTGAGCTATGATCACACCACTGCACTCCACCCTGGGTTAGAAAAGGAACATAAAGGGGTGGGAAAAATGGGGAGATGTTGGTCAAAGGGTATAAAGTTTCAGTTATGCAAAATGAGTAAGTTCTAGAGATCTAATTTACAGTGTGGTGACTACAGTTAATAATACTGTTCTTGTCCAGCCTGGACAAAACAGTGAGACCCCATCTCTACTTAAAAAAAAAAAGTAAAATAAAATTAGCCAAGTATGGTGGAATATGCCCATAGTCCTAGCTAGTCAGGTGGCTAAGACAGGAGAATCACCTGAGCCCTGGAGTTGAAGGTTAGAGCAAGCTATGATCACATCACTGTACTCCAGCCTGGGTGAAGTACAGTCTCAAAAATAGAGAGAGCACCAGTCTCAAAAATAGTAATAATACAGCATTGTATACTTGAAACTCGCTGAGAGTAGATCTCAACTGTTCTCACTACACACACAAAAAAAGGTAGCCATGTAAGATTATTTTAAATGGCTTGATTGTGGTAATCACTTCAAAATGTATATGCATGTCAAAATATCACATTGTACACTTTATATATAGTTATTTGTCAATCATACATCAATAAAGCTGGAAAAAATAAAAGAAACAAACACAAAATGTTAATCAATGCGGCACTTCTATGAATTTAGTGAGAGCCCTTTCTCTCTCATTCTTCCCCTCTCTCTCCCCTTTATCTATCCCTCTTCTATTTTTTCACACTGGTTTATCATCATCCTGTTCTTAGTAACCTGGAAAATTTGCTGAAAAATACTTTCACAAGTCTAGTTATATTGGAAAACAACCACAAAAGATATTCTATTGATAACCCAAACAGAACACATGAAAACAAGTACCATCAGCTGTTATTTCAAAACAAATATAATAGTACCAGCTGTTATTTCATAACACATAGCTGATGCTATTTGTTATTTCAAATCAAAACAGATTTAACTATTTGCAATTATCCTCCTAAAACCCCCAAAAGAATTAAAAAAATGAACTGTTTATCTTTGGCAAGAATTCAAGCAAATGTGGAAACTAAGTTATAACACAGCTAAGCATAGATTGAAATTATTTTCAGGTGTCAAAAAGATACTTTACAAATAAAACCATTAACTTCTCTAAAAGTCTTACTCCCAGCTAATGCTGTCTTATTTGCTCACCTGATCTGAGGATCTGCCCACCTGGGTCCAGCCAAGACAGAGACTGCAGTGTATTCCACAGGGTTATAGTCCTGCCACTCAACAAGCCAGCCCACTTTCTCATTAGGAACCTGGCTTCGTTCAACTTTTGAACCTGGGTAAGGAGACGTCCGAGCCTTATTGTGGGAATTCTCTTTGGAACCATTAGAACCAGACATGACGTTGGTATTAAGATGAAACCAACAAGATGAAAACGAGTTTCTGGGGGAGAAAAAGAAAAAACATTTTACATAAATACCAAAAATATATTAATTAAAGAACCTAGGCCGGGCGTGGCGGCTTATGCCTGTAATCCCAGTACTTTGGGAGGCCGAGGTGGATCACCTGAGGTTAGGAGTTCAAGACCAGCCTGACCAACATGGTGAAATGCCATCTCTTCTAAAAAGACAAAATTAGCCAGGCATGGTGGCATATGCCTGTAATCCCAGCTACTTGGGAGGGTGAGGCAAGAGAATCGCTTGAACCCAGAAGGCAGAGGTTGCAGTGAGCCAACATCGCGCCATTGCACTCCAACCTGGGCAACAAGAGCAAAAACTCCATCTCAAAAAAAAAAAAAACAACAGAAAAAGAACCTAATTCAAAGACCCAAAAACATACTTCCCAATTTCAAAAACCTTTAAGTGTCAGAAAATTCAAATATGATGCATATTAGTCTAAAAGTCCAACATCTATGAGAGATTATTTTCAAATATACATTTTTTTAACATATAGCTAAATCTTATTAGTTGGAACCCACTCACTGAATTTATTTTAGGCAAAAAAAAAAAAAAAGACACAAGCTTACTTGTGTGTTACCTGTTGTAGAAGGGGAAGTTTGTTATGAAAACTCAAACCATAAAAACAAATGTAGGCCCGGCGTGGTGGCTCATATCTGTAATCCCAGCACTTTGGGAGGCCGAGGTGGGCAGACCACTTGAGGTCAGGAGTTCGAGACCAGCCCGCTCAACATGGTGAAACCCTGTCTCTACTAAAAAATACAAGAATTAGCCAAGTGTGGTGGTGCGCACCTGTAATCCCAGCTACTGGGGAGGCTGGGGCAGGAGAATCGCTTGAACCCAGGAGGTAGAGGTTGCAGTGAGCCAAGATTGTGCCACTGCACTCCAGCCTGGGCAACAGAGCGAGACTCCATCTCAAAAAACAAAAAGTATAAAAGAAAATCGTTTAAAGTCTATGTGAAGGAATGCATTTTTAAAAAATCATCTATAATATACACGTAAAACGTATGGCAAAAATGGTTCAAAGGAAAAATGGGAAAATAGAAATTAAATACTGAAAAATTCTTACACTGAAAACGAACTAATGTAATATAATCTGAAGGTAGACTGTGGTAAATACACAAATTGTAACCTGTAGAGCAAAATTTAAATAAAATATACAGGCATGAAACAATTGGAGAGCATATGCAAAAGAAAAATCAACCAACCTTCACCCTAACCACACAGCATATACAAAAAATTTTTCATATCTCATCTTGCCCAAAAAGTTAAATGGCTTCTCATTATCCTTAAAATAAAATACGAATTCTTGATGACCTTAAATTAGGACATCTAAAGTAGGAAAGGAGATTCTGAGGACATGGTAAAATTATGATAGCTCCTTTCCCCTGCTCTCACAATACCAGTCAGTTTGACCTTCTTAAGACAAATGATTGACGGGGCAAACATCCACTTGACCAAGGTTGTGGAATAAGTCAACTGCATGTGCCTCCTGATCTCATACAGTGAGAAGTACACAACAATCATTTGAGGTATTTCTGCCAAAAATATATGACATGAATCTGGACATTAGGAAACACAGGACAGACCCGGGTTAAGAGGCATCTTACAGAATAAAGGTGTGTACTCTCTAAATTGGTAAGGTCATGAAAGATAGAGAAAAGTGCAGGAACTCTTCTAGATAGATCAAGACTAAAAAGACATGACAATTAGAAGCAATCAATGATCCTGGATGGGCTGATAACCATAAAAGAAAAAGTAAACATTGCAGGATAGGTAGTAAAGTTTGAATGGGGTTGTATAAATAATTTTAAAAGGCGAATTTTTTTAAAGTATCTATTTACTCCCAACAAAGAAAAACCCAGGACCAGATGTCTTTACTGATAAATTCTACCAAATATTTAAAGAAGAATCAACACCAATATTCCTTCAACTCTTCCAAAAACCTGAAGAGGAAATAAACACTTCCAAACTCACTCTATGAGGCCAGCATTATCCTGATACTAAAGCTCGACAAAGACACTATAAAAAAAAACTACAAACGAGAATCTTTGATTAATACTGATGTGAAAATCCTCAACAAAATAATAACAAACAGAATTCAACAGCACATGAAAAGGATTATACACCATGACCAAGGGAGACATTCCTGGAATGCAATGATGGTTCCACATAATGAAAATCAATCAACATAATGTACCACATTAACAAAACTTTTTTAAAAAACACAATCCTCTTGATTGATGCAGAAAATTTATCTAACAAAATTCAACACCCTTTCATGATTTAAAAATATTCAACAAACTAGCAATAGATGGAAATTACCTCAACATAATAAAGGCCATATATGAAAAGCCCACAGCTAATGGTGTAAAGGTGAAATACTGAAAGTTTTTCCTCTAAGATCAGGAACAAGACAAGGATGTTCACTTTATTTAATATAATACTGGAAGTTCTAGCCAGAGCAATTAGGAAAGAAAAAGAAGTTCCGGCCAGAACAATTAGGAAATGAAAGAAAGGAAAAGGCATCCAAATTGGAAAGGAAGAAGTAAAACTGGTTGAGCATTCCTAATCCAAAAATCCAAAATCAGAAACTTTTTGATTGCTGATATGATGCCACAGATAGAAAATTCCACACCTCGCTTCATGTTGATGGGTCACATCAAAATTGTTTCAGGCACAAGTTTAAAATATTGTATAAAATTATCTCCAGGCTACCTGTTTAAAGTATACATGAAACATATATGAATTTCACGTTTAGACTTGAGTCCCATCTCCAAGACATCTCATCATGTGTATGTAAATATTCCAAAACCTGAAATCCAAAACGCTCTGTTCCCAAGCATTTTAGATAAGGGATACTCAACCTGTATTTACACATCGCATGATATTTTATGTAGAAAACCCAAGATAATTTACGAAAAAACTGTTAGAACTAATAAATGAATTCAGCAAAGTTGCAAGGTATGAAATCAACACACAAAAATGGTTACATTAAAAAACACTAACAGGCTGGGTACGCTGGCTCATGCCTGTAATCCCAGCACTTTGGAAGGCAGAGGTGAGTTTGAGACCAGTCCAGCCAACATGGTGAAACCCTGTCTCTACTAAAAATACAAAAATTAGCTGGGTGTGTGGTGCATGCCTGTAATCCCAGCTACTCAAGAAGCTGTGGCAGGAGAATCGCTTGAACGCTGGAGGCAGATGTTGCAGTAAGTTGAGATCGAGACTCTATCTCAAAAACAAACAAAGCACTAATAATTAACAATCCAAAAGGAATATTAAGAAAACAATTCTACTTACAATAGCATCAAAAAGAATAAAATACTTAGGAATAAACTTAAGGAAGCAAAACTTTTATACACTGAACACTACAAAATATTGCTAAAAGAAGTTAAAGACACCAACAAATAAAAAGACATCCTGTATTCATTGACTGGAAGAAAATATTGTTAAGATGTCAATACTACTCAGTTATCTACAGATCCAATGCAATCTCTGCCAAAATCCCAATGATGTTTTTCCAGAAACAGAAAACTCTACCTTAAAATTTATATGGAATCTCAAGGAACCCCAAATAGCCAAGACAATCTTGAAAGGGAAAAACAAAGTTCAAGGTCTCACACTGACTACACAGCTATAGCAATCACAACACTGAGATACTGGCATACAGACAGACATATAGACTAATGGAATAGAAGTAGAACCCAGAAATAAATCCTCATAATAATTTCTGACAAAGGTACCAAGATCATTTCAACAGGCAAAGGGCAGTCTTTTCAACAAATGGTGCTAGGAAAATTGGATATTCACATGCAAAAGTAGTATGAATTTTGACTCTTACCTTACACCATATAAAAATATTAACTAAAAATGGGTCAAAGACCTACACATACGACCTAAAATGATCAAAATCTTAGAGGAACACATGCTGACAAAATTTCATGACACTGGATTTGGCAATGAGTTTCTGGATATGACACCAGAAGTACAAGCAACAGGAGAAAAAATAGATAAGTTGGACTACATATTACATCAAAATGAAAAACTTCTGGGTATCAAAAGACACAATCAAGAGTGAAAAAGCAATCCATGGAACAGGAGAAGATACTTGTGAATCACATGTCTGATAAGGGGTTGGTTATATCCAGAATACAGAAAGAACTCCCACACACAACAACAATAAAACAACCCAATTAAAAAATGGGCAAAGGACCCCAATAGACATTTCTCCAAAAAAGATATACAAATGGCCAATAAGCACATGGAAAGATGCTCAATATCACTAATTATTAGACAAAAGCAAGTCAAAACCTCAATGAGATACTGCCTCAGACCCATTAGATAATTACCACTATCAAAAAAACAATACAGAAAATAAGTATTGGCAAGGATGTGGAGAAATTTACTTGCTAATAAAAACAATGACATCAAACAATTTGTATTTCCATAAGGTATTGCTGAAAAAAGATTCAGTGAAGTGCTATAATACAATACTATTTTTATAAAGCAAGGACATAAAAAATAAGTAAGTACATACATTTTGGTGCATATATATAATGTATTAGTTTTCTATTGAAGCCATAACATATCACCACAAATTCAACGACTTAATACAAATTCATTCTCTTACAGTTTTGTAGGTTAGAAGTCCAACAAAGGTCTCACTGGGCTAAAGGCAATTTACCAGCAGGGCTGCATTCCTTTCTGGAGACTCAAGAGTTAAAAATTCATTCGCCTCCCTTTCCCAGCTTCTAGAGGGAATCCCTATTCCATCTGCATTCTGTGGCTCATGGCCCCCTTCCATCATCTTCAAAGCCAGCAACATAGAATCTCTCTCTGACCATTCATTAGTAGTCATATCTTTGATCACGGCCAGGTCATTTTTTAAGGACTCTCAATTACATCAGGCGCGCCTTCCAGGATGCTCTCCCCATCTCAAAGTCCTTAACCTTCATCACATCTGTACTCTCTTTTGCTATGTAA